TCATACTTACCTAAATAATTTTTAAACGGTCCATTAATTTTGTTATTTTATTGTCGAACAAATTAAAACTAATCCTTAAGAAGTTATGTACAAAAGATGGTTACAATCCGCTTACCCGTTTCAGAGATCCAGCAAACCCACAAACGTTACTCCAGCAGGATTTCGAATAACTTCGCATCCGAAGAAAATACAAATACCAAATAAGTTGTAACATTTACCTAGTCCAGATAACTAATTATTTAGCTAAAATTTATTTCAATATTACAATTAAAAAAGAAAATGTCTGGCTGCGGTAACGTTTCAAACGTTACCCCAGCAGGAAATGTTTTTTTGAAATAACTAAAAAAGTTTAAGTGAAACAAATTTAAAAATGTGATTAACAATTACAGAAGGGGAGCAACTAATTATCTATAAAGTTTAAATGACCATTTTCGACATTATTTTGCTGGGGTAACGCACACGAAATATGGAAACGACAGAACTTAAAAGGCATGGTGGTATGGAAGGATCTAAAACAATTATTTTGTTTCTTGTAGCATAACGCTACTCCACATTTCTCACAAATTGTTTGAGATACGGCAGTACATTTGGGAAACTTGCACCGAATCCTTTTTTCTACCCAAATCGGTCAGTGGCCAATTTGATCCTGCCTTACTGCCAATAGCAGCAGCACATGTTGAGCTGGCCCCTTTTGTTTTTTTTGCTTGAATTTCATTTTCAATTGACCTTCGGTTCTTGATATTAGGTTTCAAGCCTAGTTTGCGTAAAGTCTCACCGATCTCAAGTCGAAAATCTGCTGAAGACAATTGTTTGTCACTGCAGTTTGTTTCCTGCCTTACTCTTCGATATAACAGCCAAGAATTTGCCATAGTCAGGTCTAATAAGTGATAAAACATCCGAACCTGCCATCTTTTACTTCGTATCAAAATTTTATACCTTCCCATAATACTGTCAATCAAATCTACGCCTCCCATATGCCTATTTTATTCTCCAACGATATGGGGGCGATCGATGTTGATGTTCTTCTTATTGGCCTTATCTTATTTGTATTTGGTATTAAAATGTTCGGTGTGGTATGTTACAATGCAGTGACATTGATTTGAATGATCTAAAATGTTTAGTATACCTACATTTTAGCGGGATTATTGAGGTTTGTTACAGAAATGTCACACAAGTCTACAAAGGGTTAAAAAGACAACTCCCGCACTAGGAACAAATCCTGTGTCGCGGCGGACATAAAGATCACTCAGACTCAGAACAACAATTTGTGGATCACACAAAGTGTCGTCCCATGTGGGGATCGGACCAACAACACTCAGCGTAGTAGTAAGCGGCGTGGTGACCGCTTAAACCACTACGCTATCAGTTCAGTCAAATCAGGATAATCGGCCAAATTTATCAAATTATTGTATAGTCATCGGTCCTTGATAAGTGTGCGAAGTTTCAATTTAATTCAACGTTTTGAAATGGGTCAAAATCGAGTTCGAAGATTCAGTTACATACGAGTATATACATACAAACATAAATACATATCCACCAAAAAAAAACTCATGGAACCATGGAAACGGGTTTGCTGTATGTATACATTTATTTTGCTAAATATTTGACACAGATTTGAACAGATTGTTGTTATTGTGTGTTGATCCATAACTTTAGTCGGCACAAGAGACGAGTTCAAATAAATTTAAAAGAATTTTATGAAATAAAGAATACTTTGATTAAATCTGTGTTTATTTTAATCTGTATTTACCCTTCTTTTTAAATGTAATATCATCTATTAAACCCACGATTCCCATATCACACAGAATATTGACTTGATAATATCTTAGATTTTGCCATAAAAACTAATTCTCTTAACAAAATACCTACAAAGCGTACACAGGGACCAAACCTTTGTCGCCCGGCTAGTACGGGCCTGCGCATTTCGCCCTAGGCACTACGGGCCCGTGAGCTTCGCGGTACGTTACCTTGCGTGTTTTTCGTGACATTCATAAACAATCTACAAAGACGAAAAGGTGATGATTTATATATATATATATATATATCTACCTTATACGAAAAACCAAAAGTAGATTGATTAGTGTCCAGGGTAGTATACTAATAGTGCGCTTTGCATCTTGGTGCATGTAAAATATTAATGTGGGTGTTCAATCTCGAGTTCTCACGCTTGGGGACTACAGTCTTAAATAAAAATCGTTCTTCATTGGTAGGTCATAATTTAATGCAGTTTTCTTTTATTTAGTAAACATTTGCTTCTTCTTTTACTTATTAATATGACAATGGAATATTGTTTGATATCTAGATTAAATATCTAATCTGTGACAATACTTTAAACAACTTTTATATTCTCATCAGCATTTTGTACAACAATAAATTGATTAATAACACTAATTAATGCATTTGACACTAATTTTAAGGCAATAAAAACATGGCGGGATATCATTTTAAAAGCTGATATTATGTTTTACAATACTTGTGACCACATAAGAAGAAAGTATAGATAATAAACATAATAATTAAAGTACATTATCTGTCATATAAACAGAGAATAGATTTTAACAACCTGCCTGCGCAAAATACTGTATATTTATTTATTTCGAGATAATTTATTCCTTATTTATCTGATACGGTACTGATTACAAAAAAAAGGAAGCTGAAGGTTGCGGCGACACGCTTGTGGCGATTACAGATTACAATTTTTTGTTATTTTGCTTTTTCATAACGCGCATATATATTTTTTCCACTTCGCCTTTAATACTCTATTTACCTGAAGCTGGGTTACAGGATTTTTTTTTCTTAAAGTTTAATATATTTTTACTAACCATTTTATCATGGCCGGCGTCGCTGATGTCAAGTCTTATCAGTGTGACCGCGATTTAACCGACTACGATACTGTCTAATTGATGACAATGATTGTGTAATAGTTACTATTGAAAACAGTAACATTCTTTCAGGTGTAGGCCACAACAATTGCTTCTTATACAATATTTAAGTATATACAAATAGTTTTAAAATAAATAATAAAACTGTCTTTAAATGAACTATTTATCAATTGTTATATTTAAACTTTGAAGACTAACGATAAATATACAAAAAGAATAAGCTTTGTTAATAATTACTTTAATATTTTGAACATTATACCTAATAAGTTTCAGTCCTTAAAATGGCCGCGCTTAGGACTATAATGATCTTTATTAGACTTCAACAAAATGCGCAATTTTAGTGCTATCTACTAACAATACAGACAAAGGATTGTACAGTTTGAATTATATAAAGGAGAGATAACGCACACGTTTACACTTACACGCGATAATATTGCACATCACGGTCTCATACAATGACAACACAATGAATATCACTTATGTAACTTTGTCCCTTTGTCTTGCAATTTATATGATTAGCTTAAATAGCACACAGGAACACTCCCAAGCATTTGACTCTTGGTGTGTGTAGTGATTTATTAATCATATAGTAATAACAAGATTTGTTTTTTATAGAACATTGTTTGGTTGGTCATTTCTAAAGAAGTCAATAAACTTAGGTGCAATAATTCATAAGATCAAGAGATTGGTTATCCATGTTTACAGATTCAGTTCAGCGGTTGAGTTTTAACATAACTAAATGGTAATACAGCATACATGTCAAATATACAAAATTACACTAGTTTAGTGTGAGATAAATTTGTGTGTTTCCATATATTTTGTAATAGTAAAAAAAAGCTATTGCGCAACTTTATTGAAAATTATTTTCACGTCTAACTTTGAAGCTCATTCGCGGCAAGTGACTTAAGACCCGTAATGTATTAAAAACCAAACCAGTTTTTTGATATATAATACTATGTACAGGAAAAATTACAAGTGTTCACTGCAAATTTTTAGTAATTGTTGAATGACAAGGCTAGCGCTTTCAATTAAAGCACAATTACATTAATTTTATGCATATTTCTAGACAGTATGGTAATGATGAATCAACATTTAACTTAACCTGTTAATGAATTAATGGAAAGTTATCAAAAATAATGACTATCTCGACACTTTGATGAAGACGGCCGGCTAAGAATATTTTGCATAAAATAAATCTTAATTTCCCTTTCTATTTGACTTAGCGATTCGGTAATCGTAGATGCAAGATATGCATTGCCGACCTAATATAAATAATAAACAACTAATTTAAACTAATTCAAATTATTTTTCTTTAATGTCTATTTTCTAATGAGATTTCTATTCATCTGCATTTTATATATCAGTCACTAGTCAAATATCGATTATTGTCAGCAAAACGACTTAAACGGCGCGACGCTGCAACGGACGACAAGCGCGGTTACTGGTTACAGACATACAAGGACTACAGGTAGACTGGAAGCAACTAGTACAGTAAGTTTTATCGAGAATATTTCAACATAAATATGGAATGTAGCTAACACTCAATTGAAAAGACCCCCGGGTACTGGCGTTCGGCCATAATTAATCTAATAATATTAAATTAGAGACAATATTTACAATAAAATAGTATCTATGCAACGTAAATTAATATTCCTTGCGTTTACTGTACTGATATGCATCCTTCACATACAATTATAAACAAATATAAAAGTTGTTTAAACACAGATTTATAGCTGCTGGACAGAAAATTAAACTTTAAAATAGGTCACTTAAACATGAAACTGTACACTGCAAGACGTCAGCTCCCGTCGGCCCGCCCGGCCCGGCTTCCGCCGCGGGCGCGGCCGTACTTTCATTAAATATTATAATATACCTTTAATCATTTCTATCTGAATCAATTTCACCTAAGACAACATACTTCAACGTAGACTTTATAACGTTATATCTTTTTACTTTATCTCAGTCTTAGTTTTCGCGAAACTCAAAGACGGCGCGAGGAACGCGGACCCGGCCGCCGTCGCTCCCGAATAAATAAATAGCAAGTCTATAGTAGTCGGGCCCGCTCGTCCGCGTCCCGGTAATGGAATGTAAGCGTGATATGGTCGCACGGGGCGCGGGTCACGCGTCGGGCGGCGCGGCGCGGCGCGGCACCATGACGCCCATGACGCAGGGCGCCGGCGCCGCGCTGGCCGCCATGGGCCGCGCGCCCATGCGCACCCACCAGCGCGTGGCCTTCTGCAGCAGCCCGTCCTTCTTGCGCCGCGCCGCGCCCGCCTCGCCGCCCTCCGCGCACACGCCCCCGCCCGCCCACTCCGGCACGTCGCTCACGCACTTGTTCGGCGGCGGCTGGAAGCTGCTTCTCGTCAGCTCGGCTTGCTGGAATGCGACCGACCATTTTAATGCAAGAGATCATGACCGTTGTCGTTGATTTTTCCGATATATTTTTACCGAAATAAATAAGTATATAATATACCGTCGCTGACAATTCACCGTTGTTAAAAATGATTTGTTGGGATTCGTAAAAAAAAAAACAAACGAGCCCAGACTCGAGGGGGCCGACCTAGTTTGTGTAGTGTACACACAATGTTTCATTTCCGTAAAGGTTAAAGAAATAGGTTAAAATTCACTTCGAATATTCTTCGTTTATTTAGAAGTAAAGCTAATAAAACTGTGTAAAAAAGAACAGAGAACAGTTAATTATTTTATTTATTTTAAGAATCTCCAACAAAGGATCTATACATAATATCGAAAATACATTGCACACTAGTATTTGTTATATGAACTCCTTCAAGTATTGGAGACCACAACATGCACATTTACAAGTAAGTAAATAATACTTTTATAATACAATAGAGTTTAAAACAAAAGAGTGCTTACTAACTAAATTGTAATACACGTAACACATGCAACAGACACAATAGTGGTCTTCATACATGTGTCTACATGATTATGGATCAGCTGTTTATTTACATGATCAATCCGTGTGATTTAGAACTAGTAGGTAAAAACAATACTAAAATGTTATGGGTAGGTGTAAATAAGTAATACCTTTGAACGAGCAGTTCTTGTATATATATAATGTGATTCTCGGAAACGGTTCCAACGATTTTCATGAAATTTAGTATGCAGAGGGGTTTCGGGGGCGATTAATCGATCTAGCTAGGTTTCATTTTTAGAAAATTTACCAAAAAAAAAACTGAGTAAAGCTCGGTCATCCACGTACTTTCTTTTAAACATAACATAATAAACATAAACATAACATAATATTTTTAATAGTTAGCTTAACAAGATTCGATATTCAGAAATATCCCCTCATACGTTCAAATGCAATGCTAGATAACGGATCAATAAACTGTACTGTTTTTAAGACTATCTTTCTCTTCCTATGATATCTAAATTCGCTACTATGAAGTGGATCATAGAGCGTAATTTACTTTACCTGATAAGGGACTCGTAACTGTAGATGCACATCCTGCCCGTATTCGCCGTCAGGCAGTTGTATACTGGGCGGTAGGCCGAGCCTCTCGGCGGCCGCAGCGGATCTCGCGCGCGTCTCTTGCTCCACCATCTCTTGGAGCCTTCCCACCATTGCCTGCAACCTTTGCTGTTTCTCCCATTCCCTATAAATATTAAGTGCAATGACAGATACTCAAATTTATTTTTTATTGTTGTTAAAGTTAACGATTCTTAGAGAAATATTTCATAGCTCATATGTACATATCGTAAAGCTGTAAAGGCGTCGCAAGTCAGGAGTAAGCTGTTGCAACATTTATTGAGAGCCTGATACTTCCTGAGGGTCTCTGGAGATACTAATCAAAGTAGGTTTTGTTTGGCTGCGATTTTTATGTAAAGTGGAGGTTCATGCAGTATGTTGCACAACCATATTCCTGACTGATTGTTTCTAATAGTATACGATTTTAATTTATTATATGTCGGGTCAATTATATTCCCTGTTGAGATTATATGAATTACAAACAAAAATGAATTAAAAAAGTAAACTCTTTATATAAGTATATATTATTAGCGTTTATTAAGGACATCGTAAACTTTGGATGTTTAAATGAACATACACATTTCAGACCATAGTGTTATATAATCTGTTAAGTATTTGAAATGAATTGAATGTAAAAAAACTACTTAATATAATTTATAACATTGTCAAGAGATTTACCATCTGTATCTTTTATGGAGATAACTTGTAAACTGATTAGATAGAACAGGCAAAGGTCAGTTTTCACACTGTTTTATAATAATAATAATAATAATATCACACATCTCACACACGACCGTCTGATCCCAAATTAGGCAGAGCCTGTGCTATGGTAACCAGACGGCTGATAAACATACTTCTATATTTCTAAATACATACACAATAAAGATGAATTACACCCAGACACAGAACAAATGGTCGTGCTCATCACACAATTATTAGTCCTGGGTGGGAATCGAATCCACGACCTCCGGCTTAGCAGTCAGGGTCACTGACCACTAGACCAACAGGCCCGTCAAATGCTTATTATGTTTCGCTTGAACTAATTTTATAAGCTTTTTCATCCATGTTTTACCTTTTGGACTTTTGTCATTGAATGGTCTATTGGACATATACATATATATATAATACCTGCACACATGAAAAGCATAAAAAAGAATCACGAACTTGCCCGTTTTACAGGAGTCAATTCTAACAGTTATTTTTATGTTATCTAAGTTAAGTCATTTCTACCTTGTCTTAGTATGTTAATTATTTTAGTTTGTTTACATTTAGACTTACATCCGAATTTATACCCTGAATTAATGATAAATGATGAAAAACTCTGAATACGTACGTACGTATGCATGTTATTTATTCACATTTGACTATAAAGTCAAACATAAGTTTACAAAGTTATAAATTCAATTGCAAATTAGCAGTATAAGTACAACCCGCTTCAAAGATGGTTTTTATCTGTTTGTCGTGCTGTCGAGAAATGAGGAACAAAACTTTAACTTCACTCATTTCTCCACTGCGAAGCATGGCACGGCATGCTCGGGCACGCCGTTATGAAGGTTTGGATCGAGAGGCAAGACAAGGCCCTTTCATACCGACTGACGCAGGTGATTACCGGGAAAGAATGCCTGGCGTGGGTGGAGCGGAGGCGTGACCTCGTGGCGGCCATCGGAGTGGGAATTCTCTCGCTCGGTAACATGATTGCGGCCATGGTACGGAACGAGAGCGTGTGGAACTCCGCCGTCTCCTTCTGTGAGCAAGTTATGCTTGCGAAGGAGATGGCGGAGCGGAACTGGGAGAGGTGTAGAACTCTCCCAGTCCGCCAGGCTCGGGAACGGGCCACATACCGCAGATGATTCAGCAATGCAAACGGACGAACAGTAAGTTTGCTAGAAAGAGAAGAAAACAACTATTCTGATAGATCCAAATTTATGCTTTTCTTGTCCAGATAATTATATAATTATTTATAAACAAGATGATTTTTGTATTGTAAGAAATCATAAATACATAGCTTCTATATGATGAGTACTACAATTTTATTTTATTTAATACATTTCTTACTTGCTCTTGCCTAAGGATACCGGGATTTTACCATCCCGTGGGTTTTATCATCAGTCTGTCAGACGAATAGTGCCTACCGTTTTTTGGAATGAAATTTTCTTTATTTTTTAAGAAAGAGAAAGAGAAAGAGCAACATGGTTCCCACATTACCAGTATTTTTCTCAACCCTTCTTGGAATGCTTCTATTAGGAGTCGTTTACATCACCCGCAACCGCAAACGTCTTAGCCATTAGGCGATACCGCCTCGTAAAAGGTACCAAACAAAACTTTTAAATATAATATTAAAGAATAATCTTTGTTATACTAACTTTGTCGCTCTAAGTTTTCTTTGTAGTTCATGCAAATTATGCATCGCAATTTTGTGTTCAATTTGTTTTTTTTCATACAAATTTAAAGCCCTGTATACGTGATTCAATATTCTAAAATACATGCTAATGGATGGCTAGTACATATTTACCATCTTTTTGGTTCAAAAAAAGGTTTAAAGAGAAAGAACTTACAATGTGGAATGGTGATGTCTGTGATCGTGCCGTAGGCGCGGTCCCCCCGGCGCGCCCAGCCGCTCCATGCCCGCGCACCCCGGCACTTGTACCGAGAGCATCTGCAAATCACAACACACTACTCTCACTTATGTTGTTATCCTCAGTGTTAATATTTTATCACTATAATATGTAATAGCCCAACAACAACATGTTTTCTCATGGCAAGTTGTAATACACAGCTATTTTAATGTATAATACTCTCAAACATTATCATAACTAGGTAAGTCAGTTTCAAGTCCATCGGGACTGCATTGTTTTATTTTCTTGTTGTTTTAGAATATTTTAAGTTCTCGTTGTTTAAAATAAGAGTGTATTGTTATACTCAGTGTATCTTATCATATTACTATAATATGTAGTAAACTGGATAGCACGGTGGATGGCTAAACCACATATTACGTTGGAGTCACACATTATTAAATATTAATAATATGTATATATCAAATTAAAAAAAAAAACAGCCTTGTACAATGCAATTTAATTTTAAGACCTCACAATTTGTGCCTCGAACATATTTTTAAATAATTTTAAATTCAGATTTCAGACTTCTAAACTGTATTTTTTTTTTGGAAATAAGTTTCTAGCAACATTAGCTCCTATTAACTTTTAAATATATTGCTGTATTGATTTTAGTGCCAAAAAAAAGTGGCAGTACACACAAATTTTGCACGCACCTTCCTTGACCGATCACATACAGTTGATATGAAGTGCAAAAGACCAATTTTTACAAGCAAATTGTACAGAGATACAGCTGCTTAATGTCAGTTATAATCCCTAAGAGTAAAAGTATGTAAATGTCAAATTTGGGATTATTTATTTTATATGACAATCCCTATGATGGAGTGCCTACATGCTAAACATGTCTTGATAAAAGGACATCAATAATATTTTATCTGCCCCTGTCAGGTCATTTTCTAGAAAAATATATATAATATATATGTTGTATATGTGTAAATAAGAATATGGAAAATATTTAACTATAAATATTAAAACCCTTAAAGAAATACTTGCAATAATAATAATATAGAACCACCGGACGTTGGTGGTCTACTATTTTGTTTTTAATTTTAAATGTATTTTTTGTATACTTAAAAATATTTATTTTAAAATGTAATAAATAGAATAATAATATTAAAAATATTCATGTATTTTGCTAGTAACTTGGTGAATATTATTTTGTTATAAGTGTAAATATATGTTGTGTAAATAAGAATATACCTAATATTTAAAGCCTTAAAGAAAGCCTTAGAATTATGTAAGTTGACTCTTACTTTTAATACTTAAATCATGATTGAGAAATAATTTGAAAAACCTTTTAAACATAAATTTGTTATATTATTTCAGATTCCATAACAATGAATCCTGTATTAATAGGTTCATATTTTGTACATCATTTCTAATAGTTTTTCTCAAATTATGTATAACTTGAGAATAACATTTTTGTATTTTTTGACATTCATATTTTAAATATAACAGTGGTATCCAGAGTATTAGACACTAATCATACATATGAATAAATAGAGCATTAAACAACTTAAATGAATAGGGTAGTCTGTCTTATTGCACATTTTACTTAAAAAATATATTCTTTGTTTTCTTTGGCCAAGATAAAGCTAAAAGTTTTAAGACAGAATGATAATTAAAATACTACCATCCCAATCACCTTTTTTACTTTTTACAAAAATTTTGCAGGTTTCCCAAATCTTGGTCAACAATTAGAAATCTAAGGGTTGTGTGGTATTTTAAGTATTTAATAGTCTTTATAGAGAACTTACTCATATTAAGCATAGGCAAATAAACAAGATATAAAAAGTATACTGCTAAAACATGGTTCACTACAAAATTTCTGTAAATTTATTAATACATTGTAGTGGAGTAGACAAGAAACTTACTCTAAGATATAAGAATAAGATTAGATTAAATAGAATTTTCACCTATTTTGAAAATTATTCTAGTTTGAATTTTCTTTTCATACTCTTTTGAATGGATTACTGTTTATTTGCTAAAATGTGTTGCCGCCATTATTAAACACAATCAACAATGTATGAAGATTTATTGCTCAACTGAAGTCTCTTGCAATGCAATTCACATAATATTGCACAAAAGTTTTCTAACTAGAATTCAATAATATACACATTTGTACAAATTTGTGTAATAATAAAACCTACTTGGTAAAGTATGTTCTTTTTTTATAATTGTGACAAGTGTATTCTCATAAGTGGATAAATTAGGATACTTTATGTTTGGTCTTCGATGGCATCTCAATTTATTAGTTATAAAAATCTTTCTGCGATAATTTTAACTCATAGAGAAAGTATGTGAGTGTATCATCAAACACATGATTCACAAAAATAAAGATTATATATCTAATCAAAACAATCTTAATTGGGTATACCTACGGTTTTTGATGAGTATTTTCAAAAGTGATGCACAAAATATTCGGTAGGTACAGAGTTGACATGTCACGATTATCATACAGCAAGAGGTGATTACGGAACTGTCTGTCATGAATATTTATTTAAATTCACACAAACAACGTCTGGGTGTGACGTCGCTATCGGCGCGCCTCTTATCACTTGGCACGCTCCCGCCGTCTCGCGGCCATCCGAGTCGCTTCGGGCCTCACTCGACTCCAGTACAAACATTCTTCTAATCTACTCATTTCTCAGATTTATTTACTCTTATAGTTTTTTACTATTTTAGCTATGGTATATAAAAATGTGTTTCTCTTTACTGGTTTACGGAGCTATTATTACACTGCACTCTTATGAATTGAAATGATTATCATGACGTTTTTTACACTACTTACTATTTGAAACAGTGTCGTCCACAATTCTCGTAGGTTTTCCACCTATGTATGACAGTTAGTGATGTGCTCAAATCCAATATCGATGGCACACTAATCGACACAAATAAGTAAATCGATCACAAAATGTTGTATTTGGTCATTTTTACACAGTCACTGACATTTGTTTTGTTGAAGCTGTAAATATTATATTAACGAAATCATCACAGGGCACTGTAGAGAGATTAGCGCGTCTACAATAATTAACTATCATTCACTAATAAATAAAAATATGATATTTAAGGTATTAACACTATAAAAATAAAATTATTTATAATTTATGGTTAACGTATAAATTCCACTATCGCGTGTTTTGTGATGGAGTATCATAACTCCCTTTTTCATTTTGGCAGAAAGACGGCTGCCATCGAGCGAGTCTTGTTGTTCAATGACGCGAACGGACGCGGCGCGGTGTTCGCAGTCGCGTAGCGGGGAGGACGGGCGGGCGGCGGTACACCGGCTGCCCCGATGTCGCCGCACACTAACAAGATTGTAGTGTGTATTTTGTATATAGATTTTCTCTCACACATAAATAATCTGTCTAGTTAACTTTGTGTGCTCAATCGGTACTCTGGTAGGTGCGATGAATACGATGTAGCTCGAGCTAGTAGTGTGTTTATTAGATTATAGTGAGTATAACGTGTGTTGCTTGCATATGAGCTGGCACACATGCAACTAAAGCTCGATTGCTGCTACCGTCGTCGTAGTTGTTATATATGCGCACCTATAACTGTAATAGTGAGCGATGACGCGTTTGTCGGCTCACGAGCGAGTCGAGACAGTTGGCATTGCTCAATGATCGAGTTCTAGTCATAGAAAATACGTAACCAATAATCTTAAATGGATAATAACTAATTATTTTGAAAAAAAAATCGGTTTAGTAAATAAGTTTGATTTTACGAAATAGTAGGTATTTTCCCTTGAAATAGGTACATAGCGGAAAAGCTAAGAAAAAATATATAATGGCAATATATAACAGAGAAATTATAAAATAACTGAACTCGCCTTCGATTGTGACACGATAATAGGTAATTATAGTTTCTACTTTACCCATCACTTTCACCTAACTTGCATAAATAGATGCCGACACAAAAACATGCAAATTCAGTTAGAAAATGTAGGTATGTATACGATTAATAAAAAAAGGTAGGAAAGCACTTCCTACCTTTTTTTATTAATCGTATAGTTATTCATACCTAATGTTTTGTTATTTCTAATATTCTTTGACAATGAACTTAAAATCTACTTACTTTTTATTTTTACAAAATCTTTTGTGACTTGTTATCTAATCTATCTATCTAATACCTTTAAACGAGCAATTCTTGTATATATGTATTTATATATATAATTTAAATCTCGGAAACTGCTCCAACGATTTTCATGAAATTTAGTATAGTTTCGTGGGTGATTAATCGATCTAGCTAGGTATCATTTTTTGAAAATTGCCAAAAAAAAAAATAGCGAGCGAAGCTCGTTCATCCAGGTACTTATTATTACGCTAGCACAAGACTTGCGAAAGGTCATTACAACCATCGATGTCAGGCACCCGAAGTCGCGAACGTTTATCAATAAATAAATCTCCAAAACAAACTTACCACATGTTGTAAAAAAACCAACAAATTTTATATGACGATCTTGAAACATTTTGGGTTTATATCCTTTTACCTAGGGTACATTAACTACAAAGTCAATGTTGCTGGTTCCAGTTAATACTTTGTTTTAGTGTTAACAACAACTCACGGGGTTGGCGGCGGCGGCTGCGGCGGCAGCGTGGCGGCGGCGCAGGTGCGGGCGGGCCAGGGCACCCGCGGCCGCGCACAGCAACACTGCGGCACCAACGCATGCGCCCGCCCACCACCACTCTGCAATAATATATAGAAACGATCCACTTTTTGTTTGAAATTAAATAAATCTACAATGAAGTGATTTTTTTTAAGGGTTATGAGTACAATTTTACCTACCGGTCAGGGCATGGTTGAAAAAATATTTAGGCACCTAGGAAAACATCTAATTCTAGTAGTGCTAATCATGAATACTATGTAAATAAATAAACCAGCAATTATGTCTTTCTAGTGTCTCTAAAGCAGGCCTGAAGGATCTGTATTCCTATTATTAATGACTTTAATTTTTGTAAGTATAATTAAATATTATTATAGTTTATTTCGTGTGTTTAGCCAACTGTTGAAATGATTTGTTTAATTTTTGTATTTTATGTTT